GCAAGCGCCAGGACCGTCTGCTAAAGTTGATTCAGCTGCGGGATCGGGGCACCACCAGTGCAGAGCTTGCTCAGGAATGGCAGCAGGCAGGTGTGAGTGCATCTGCACACACAGTGAGGCGAAGACTTTTGGAGGTTGGCCTGGTGTCAATAAGGGCAGCGAGGAAACCACTTCTCTCCAGGAAAAACATCAGGGACAGACTGATATTCTGCAAAAGGTACAGGGATTGGACAGCTGAGGACTTGGGTAAAGTCATTTTCTCTGATGAATCCCCTTTCCGATTGTTTGGGGCATCCGGAAAAAAGCTTGTCCGGAGAAGACAAGGTGAGCGCTACCATCAGTCCTGTGTCATGCCAACAGTAAAGCATCCTGAGACCATTCATGTGTGGGGTTGCTTCTCAGCCAATTTTGCCTAAGAACACAGCCATGAATAAAGAATGGTACCAACACATCCTCCGAGAGCAACTTCTCCCAACCATCCAAGAACAGTTTGGTGACGAACAATGCCTTTTCCAGCATGATTGAGAACCTTGCCATAATGCAAAAGTGATAACTAAGTGGCTCGGGGAACAAAACAAATTTTGGGTCCATGGCCAGGAAACTCCCCAGACCTTAATCCCATTGAGAACTTGTGGTCGATCCTCAAGAGGCTTGTGGACAAACAAAAACCCACAAATTCAAACTCCAAGCATTGATTATGCAAGAATGGGCTGCTATCAGTCAGGATGTGGCCCAGAAGTTAATTGACAGCATGCCAGGGTGGATTGCAGAGGTCTTGAAAAAGAAGGGTCAACACTGCAAATATTGACTCTTTGCATAAACTTAATGTAATTGTCAATAAAAGCCTTTGACACTTATGGAATGCTTGTAATTATACTTCAGTATACCATAGTAACATCTGACAAAAATATCTAAAAACACTGAAGCAGCAGACTTTGTGAAGACCAATGCTTGTGTCATTCTCAAAATGTTTGACCATGACTGTAGATGAATGCATCAACAGTAAAATACTAAACATGCATTAGGTCAACATTTGCATGATAACACCTTGATGAAAAGTAATACATCCTAACACAGTCCTATTGCAATGAATAGGTTACTGCACATGTTGGTCTGGTAATAAAAATGTATAGATCTAAAGATACAATCTGTAATTTTAACAGCATGGCCCTGCCACTTTGTTTGGTAAACTGATGGATGAAAAAGTAACCAATTTGACAAAAATGATCCCAGTATTTGTTGTTCAACACCAACACGACGTTCGAGAGACAGGACATAGTGTTGACTATAGTCTGCACTGCTCTCTCAATAAATGAACGACTGTGAGATCTCGGCCCCTCCCCCATTGACCGGGGATTTAACGGCGGGACATAATCTCCGACCTGAAAAATATAGTTGTTTCCGTGGCTGCCGACACAGTAATCTGTCCAGTCCTCAACGAGTTTTTAGCAGGAGAGTCAAAGAAGAGCTACCTACATCACCTACAGTAGCCTCACTGGCAAGTCAAAGAGAAATCCGCGCCGCCCGGGTAAACTTCTTCTAGGGTATAGATAGGCCTATCTCATTCATGAAAGTCAGTGCTTCTCGGTCTGAATTGAATGATTGCAGCCACGTCCTATGATATAGTTGCTTCTTTTAATCTTAAAATTTTAATTTCAGCATGCAACTTTTTTGCCTAATTTCTAGGCTATTCTGCGCGTGGATGACGTTCAGATTCTGAAAAAAGTCCATAGCCCTACAATTTAAGTCAAATAATGCAGCTTATCTGTAAGTATATTTTTGAGATTGTTTTACAATCAGAATCGTGTAAAATAACATACTTTCTAACGGGCTTATTCGAGTGATTGCGCAGGGGATGCTACAGCCAATTTGCTCCCTCCGGCGGCTTAGAGCGTATAGCCATAGAAAAAAAAAACACAGGATGTGCGAAGTTCCAGCGAATTTCGGTCTATAAATACACAAGAACGCTCTGTCCTCTCGCTTTTTCCTTCGGCGTTTTCTACTAGTAATGTCCTTGCATTGGCGGGAGCGCCTGCATCCGTAAAGGGAATACCACATGTGGCTTGAGTTGTTATAAACCTGTAGGTAAGGTAGACCAGCTTTAACACACCTAACAATCTGAAATTGTCTTTAAAGTTTAAACTAGCCGGAAGTGATGATCAATAGATTTACAACATCAATTAGATATTTTTTCTTCTTCTGAATTATGGATAGCAACACTTGAACACTATCTCTGTATTTATTTTCCTCTGGGGAAAATAGTATATTCTATTCAGTTGTGTCTATCCTACGATGTGGCGTTATTCTAGCATTTTAGGCTACTGAACACTCTGCTCTGCACCTGGATGATCTGGATATGCACATTAATCTGGATTACTGAATATGCACATTAATTAATTCAGAAGAAGAAAATTGTCAAAGACTCCAGCCACCCTAGTCATAGACTGTTCTCTCTGCTACCGCACGGCAAGCGGTACCGGAGCGCCAAGTCTAGGTCCAAAAGACTTCTCAACAGCTTCTACCCCCAAGCCATAAGACTCCTGAACAGCTAATCATGGCTACCCGGAATATTTGCACTGCCCCCCCACCCCATCCTTTTTACGCTGCTGCTACTCTGTTAATTATTTATGCATAGTCACTTTAACTCTACCCACATGTACATATTACTTCAACTACCTCAACTAGCCGGTGCCCCCGCACATTGACTCTGCACCGGTACCCCCCTGTATATATAGCCTCCCTACTGTTATTTTATTTTACCTTTTTTTCTCAACACTTTTTTTGTTGTTGTTTTATTTTTACTTTTTTTGTTAAAAATAAATGCACTGTTGGTTAAGGGCTGTAAGTAAGCATTTCACTGTAATGTCTGCACATTTGATTTGATTTGATTTGATTTAATCTGGATTACTGAATATGCACATTCATCTGGATGTACTGGATATGCACATTCATCTGGATGTACTGGATATGCACATGATTCTGGATTACTGAATATGCACATTAATCTGGATTACTGAATATGCACATTCATCTGGATGTACTGAATATGCACATTAATCTGGTTGTACTGGATATGCACATTAATCTGGATGTGATCTGGATATACTGAATATGATCCACTGCTGACTTGCATGTTCTGCTGCTTGTGGTGTAGATTGACAACAGAATGACAGCACATTGACGTGGGTAGAGCGAGATATACACTATAATATCAGGGAGATAAGTAAATAGCCATGACAGGTTGCTGTGGAAGAGAGACTGAGCGGGACCAGACAGGTACAGAGATTTTTCTCTTATAATAGCTGGTAGGTAGCCTAGTTTGCTGGGGAAGAATGTGATTCAATGTTTTACTGTAGTTATACAATCATTTGACTATAATAGTTTATTTGGATAAAAGTGCCTGCTAAATGACATATTCATTGTCAGATAGAACTGACAGTGATTCATTGTGTTTTTCCTTTTCTATGAAACGTTTTTTGACTGTTTGGATATCCATGATGAAGCCTAAGATGATGCATAGGAGGATGAGAGGCAGTGATGCTTAACTGCTTCAACCTTTCAAGATTTTTCCCTTGGCATTCCTAGGTGAAACTAGACAAACAATCTTGGTTGTTTTGTTACCATCTTCTGGATGTGGATTTTCTTTGGCCTAACAGCTACGCTTTATTTCCCAATGGCTGTTTTACATGAAAAAATGTGGATTGTTAATTCTGTCAAGAACACCAGACATGTTCCATCAATTCTTTAATCCTGTCCTTGGCTTGGTTGGCCTCTTACACTGTGACTGTTCCTGGCAAGGTCAGGGTCTACATATCAGGAGTCAGTCATCTCTTATATAAGGGAAACGAGGCAAAGCTAGACAGGGTAACTTGGCTGCCCCATCTATAAACTAGGCCTACTGTAGTTCTAATCTTTCCCAAACAGTTTTGGTTGATCAGCCAAGTTACCTAATTCAGAACAGCACAAAACTATATTGCAGCAAAGCGCTGTAGATATAGCATCTAAGGCTGGTTCTGGTTTGTTTTTGCAAAGTCTGAATCGTGGACAAGTTTAGCTCAGAGTAATAGAGAATAATGAATGCTCAATGCATTACCATTGTCTATGTCCTTCCATCTCTCAATCAGCTAACTAATGATTGATCAGCCCTGTTGGACATACAGTTCTGTCAGACTGTCTGGCATTAGGGTGTGCTGTACACGGGCCAATGGAATACAGATCTGTTTTACCTGTTAGCTGCAGACAGGCTTAGAGCAAAAGTGACCTCATCGGTCTGTCTGTCTGTCTGCCAGACAAAGTCAGTTGTCTAGTCCGTGTCCACCAGGCGCCATACTGTGAGCAATGTGCTGATGTGATGACAATACTGGTGACTGATCTTCATGCCTGCTTTCTCATGACTCTGGGATTTCATTTAATAATCCAAGAGGGGGCCTCCCGAGTGGCGCAGCGGTCTAAGGCACTGCATCGCAGTGCTTGAGGCGTCACTACAGACCCGGGTTCGATCCCAGGCTGTGTCACAGCCAGCCGTGACCGGGAGACCCATGAGGCGGGCACAATTGGCCCAGCGTTGTTAGGGTTTGGCCGGCCGGGATTTCCTTGTCCCATCGCGCTCTTGCGACTCCTTGTGGTGGGTCGGGTGCCTGCAAGCTGACTGCGGTCGCCAGCTGGACAGTGTTTCCTCCGACACATTGGTGCGGCTGGCTTCCGGGTTAAGCGAGCAGTGTGTCAAGAAGCAGTGCGGCTTGGTAGGGTTGTGTTTCGGAGGACACATGGCTCTCGACCTTCGCTTCTCCCGATTCCGTAGGGGAGTTGCAGCGATGGGACTGTAACTACCAATTGGGTAGAAGTACAAAACAAATATATACAGTATATTTATCCAAGAGGACATTGTGAGAGTGTATGGGTGTAGATGCAGAGAGGATTATTATTGGTTTTCGCAATAGGCAACATAATAATCGTCTCTGAAAACTGGTGTTTAATAACATTCCTCTCTTTTCTTCCCATTGTTACAGAAATCGCTATTAAAGAATCAGACATGGGTCGTAAAGAAGCCGACTTTGACTGGAAGAAGACCACTGACAACATCCAGGAGGTGTTTGACTTCATGGAGGTGCTTGGATCGTAAGTACAGCTCACACCTGACCCACCTACCATAGGACCATAGGACCCCCCACCTACCATATGACCATTTTCACTACCTCATTAGAACATGCATCTCAGGAAAAAGAGTGCAAAGACACTTTGCAAAGACATCACTAGTTGAACATCTGGAAAGGGTCTGCTGAAAGCCCTTTGACCCCCATCCACTGGCTGAGGTGGTGGAGGGATTATGCAGTAGGTTTGATTGGATTGCCAGGAAACCTACTTTACTGGTGTCTTAGCAACAAGTCCCTCTGGCAGCACTGAGGGTATCAGTCCTAGACCTCCCGATGGCGTCAGGTGATTATTAAAATGGCTAAAAACCGTCCTCAATGGAGCTATCTTTAGCTGGAGATTCATTGAGATTTTGATTTCTTTGGTACAATCTTGGCAAAGAGTGAGAATCCCACAAGATTCCACAGGAACTTTTCAAATCGTTTTTTCCAGATGTTTTTGATGGTGTTGTTGAAAATGTGAATTATTGTAACTAAGTAATTTGAGTAAGCACAACTATGCAGTTTCAAAATATTTAGATTTAGATAGTAAATAGTCATGCAACACAAACTACAGTGCCCTCAGAAAGTATTCACACCCCTTTACTTTTTCCACATTTTGTTGATACAGCCTGAATTTAAAATTGACTACTTTTAGATTTTCTGTCACTGGTCTACACACAATACCCCATAATGTCAAAGTGGAATTTTGTTTGTAGAACATTTTATAAATTAATACAACATTAAAAGTTGAAATGTCTTGATAAGTATTCAACCCCTTTGTTATGGCAAGCCTAAATAAGTTCAGGAGTAAAAATGTGCTTAACAAATCGCATAATAAGTTGCATGGACTCATTCCGTGTTCAATAATAGTGGTTAACATGATTTTTCAATGATTACCCCATCTCTGTACCCCACACATACAATTATCTGTAAGGTCCCTCAGTTGACTAGTGAATTTCAAGCACAGATTCAACCACAAAGACCAGGGAGGTTTTTCAATGCCTCGCAAAGATGGGCACCGATTGGTAGATGTGTAAACATTTTTAAAGCAGATGCTGAATATCCAAAATATGCATCCTGTTTTCAACACGGCAATTAGGTAAAACTGCAAAACATGTGGCAAAGAAATCAACTTTTTGTCCTGAATACAAAGTGTTGTTTGGAGCAAATCCAACACAACACATCACTGAATACCACTCTTCATATTTTCAAGCATGGTGGTGGCTGCATCATGTTATGGGCAGTGGTGGAAAAAGTACCCAATTGTCATACTTGAGTAAAAATAAGATACCTTAATAGAAAATGACTCAAGTAAAAGTGAAAGTCACCCAGTAAAATACTACTTGAGTAAAAGTCTACAAGTATTTGGTTTTAAATATACTTAAGTATCAATAGTAAATGTAATTGCTAAAATATACTTAAGTATCAAAAGTAAAAGTATAAATCATTTTCCTTATATTAAGCAAACCACACGGCACCATTTTCTTGTTTTTTAAATGTTATTTACGGATAGCCAGAGGCACACTCCAACACTCAGACATCATTTACAAATGAAGCATGTGTGTTCAGTGAGTCTCTTGATAAGTGTGTGAATTGGACCATTTTCCTGTCCTGCTAAGCATTCAAAATGTAACGAGTACTTTTGGGTGTCTGGGAAAATGTATGGAGTAAAAAGTACGTTATTTCTTTAGAAATGTAGTGACGTAAAAGTTGTCAAAAATATAAATAGTAAAGTACCGATACCCCCCAAAAACTACATAAGTAGTACTTTAAAGTATTTTTACTAAAGTACTTTACACCACTGGTCATGGGTATGCTTGTCATCGGCAAGGACTAGGGAGTTTTTCAGGATAAAAAAGAAACGGAATGGAGCTAAGCACAGGCAAAATCCTAGAGGAAAACCTGTTTGTCTGCTTTCCAACAGACAGAGAATTCACTTTTCAGCAGGACAATAACCTAAAATACAAGGCCAGATCTACACTGGAGTTGCTTACCAAGACAACATTGAACGTTTCTGAGTGGCCTAGTTACAGTTTTGACTTAAATTGACTTGGAAATGGCTGTCTAGCAATGATCAACAATCAAGTTGACAGAGCTTGAAGAATTTAAAAAAGAATAATGGGCAAATATTGTACAATCCAGGTGTGCAAAGCTCTTAGAGCCTTACCCAGAAAGACTCACAGCTGTAATCGCTGCCAATAGTGCTTCTACAAAGTATTGACTCGGGTGGGAATACCTATGTAAATTAGATATTTCTGTATTTCTTTTTCAATACATTTGCAAACATTTCTAAAAACATGTTTTCACTTTGTCATTATGGAGTGTTGTGTGTAGATGAGTATATATATTTTTTTAATCATCAATTTTGAATTCAGGCTGTAACACAACAAAATGTGGAATAAGTCAAGGGGTATTATGAGTACTTTCTGAAGGCACTGTATGTGCATTGATTCTGCACAATTCAAACTAGCCTAATTTTAGTGGGTCAGCCAGCGTGAGTAATCCAAGGGGTCAATCAACTGTTCTTGACTGAGCAGTCCGGTTTTACTGAGGTTGTCGCGTTGAGATGCTTCGGGAACCCTGGTGGTGGATGATGGATCTGGGGTCAGAGGTAAATAAAGGTGTGTAGGCTACTGCTCCCTTGGGGTGCTGACGTCACTGGACCGTGGGAACCGAGACTTGCCTGGACCAAGGACTGGACAGGCAACCAAGAGAGGAAGCCATGTGGACAGACACAATTTGTGGGAACAGATGTCTTGGAGAAGATTGTTGCTTGACTAAGACCTCTTTAGTCTACAACCTCTTTAGTGATATTTGGAATCCACCTGTCATGGAATCTCGGTGTTAAACCCAGAAATAAATGGCAGCATGAATGAAGACACTTTTACATATTGCTGCATGATAAGTTATATAGATGTACAGTTGAAGTCGGAAGTTTACATACACTTAGGTTGGAGTCATTAAAACTCGTTTTTCAACCACTCCACAAATTTCTTGTTAACAAACTATAGTTTTGGCAAGTCAGTTAGGACATCTACTTTGTGCATGACACAAGTAATTTTTCAAATAATTGTTTACAGACAGATTCTTTCACTTATAATTCAATGTATCACAATTCCAGTGGGTCAGGCTTTAGAAAGTTCTGATAGGCTAATTGTCATAATTTGAGTCAATTGGAGGTGTGCCTGTGGATGTATTTCAAGGCCTACCTTCAAACTCAGTGCTCATAGGAAAATGAAAAGAAATCAGCTAAGACCTCAGAAAGAAAATTGTAGACCTCCACAAGTCTGGTTCATCCTTGGGAGCAATTTCCAAACACCTGAAGGTACCACATTCATCTGTACAAACAATAGTATGCAAGTATAAACACCATGGGACCACGCAGCCGTCATACCGCTCGGGAAGGAGACACGTTCTGTCTCCAAGAGATGAACATACTTTGGTGCGAAAAGTGCAAATCAATCACAGAACAACAGCAAAGGACATTGTGAAGTTGCTGGAGGAAACAGGTACAAAAGTATCTATATCCACAGTAAAATGAGTCCTATACCGACATAACCTGAAAGGCCGCTCAGCAAGGAAGAAGCCACTGCTCCAAAACCGCCATAAAAAGCCAGACTACGGTTTGCAACTGCAAAGATCTTACTTTTTGTAGAAATGTCCTCTGGTCTGATGAAACAAAAATAGAACTGTTTGGCCATAATGACCATCGTTATGTTTGGAGGAAAAAGGGTGTTGCTTGCAAGCCGAAGAACATCCCAACCGTGAAGCACAGGGGTGGCAGCATCATGCTGTGGGGGTGCTTTGCTGCAGGAGGGACTGGTGTACTTCACAAAATAGATGAGGAAGGAAAATTATGTGGATATATTGAAGCAACATCTCAAGACATCAGTCAGGAAGTTAAAGCTTGGTCGCAAATGGGTCTTCCAAATGGACAATGACCCCAAGCATACTTCCAAAGTTGTGGCAAACTGGCTTAAGGACAACAAAGTGAAGGTATTGGAGTGGCAATCACAAAGCCCTGACCTCAATCCTATTGAAAATGTGTGGGCAGAACTGAAAAAGCGTGTGCGAGCAAGGAGGCCTACAAACCTGACTCAGTTACACCAGCTCTGTCAGGAGGAATGGGCCAAAATTCACCCAACTTATTGTGGGAAGCTCGTGGAAGGCTACCCGAAACGTTTGACCCAAGTTAAACAATTTAAAGGCAATGCTACCAAAAACTAATTGAGTTTATGTAAATTTCTGACCCACTGGGAATGTGATGAAAGAAATAAAAGCTGAAATAAATCATTCTCTCTACTATTATTCTGACATTTCACATTCTTAAAATAAAGTGGTGATCCTAACTGACCTAAGACAGTGAATTTTTACTAGGATTAAATGTCAGGAATTGTGAAAAACTGATTTTAAATGTATTTGGCTAAGGTGTATGTAAACTTCCGACTTCAACTGTATCTTGTTCTCACCAGAGCCCTACTTCAGTGTGTGACCCACAGAACCTTTGAAATGTGATTCTGATTCACATCACATTGGGAGAAGATATTGTAAAACAGAAACGCACTATTATTTAAGTTAAGTATAATAGAGTAAAATAGTCAAAGTATAAAAATAGCTTTTTTCAGAATTATACATCTAAAATGCAGGTGCTGTGGAAGTTCAACTAAATGTATTTTAAGAATACTTATTTTCCCTGGGCAATGATAGCTTGCTTGTTCAGGATGGGTCAGCTTGGCACTGCTGGTGTCAGGGCTAAGGGCAGACTGACAGTGATATTTGCTCTCTCAGATTGGAACAAGGATCAATTAGCAGAAAGAACAGCTAAACAGATGGCGAAAGCTTGGTCAGGTGCTCTATAGATGTGATTATACTGTAATGTACAGTGAAACACTTGCATGTACAGCAATACCACGTTTTATCAAATTTTCTCTCTTTAGGCCTAATTTATATAATTAGCATACACACTATGTTTGACGATAAATATATCAGCATAACAAATGAGTGTAGTCCCTACTGTACTTCCTTCCTATGTTCTATCACAAGGATCTATCTAGGGGAATTAGGGAGGTCCATTGGATTAGGCTTTATAAAGCTAAACCCACATGGGACCATCAACAAAAACACAATCTAGTTTCCTGGCAACGTGATATACAGTACGTAGGCGTTCAGACTGTCGTTACACACCTGCTCTCTGGTGTAGATATCATCCCTGTCATGATCTTACCCTTATCATGGTTGGAAATATTAACTTTATTTCAGCTGTTAATGGTATATTTTGTCTAGATTTATTTCAACAGTTAATTGTATATTTTGTCTAGATTTATTTCAGCAGTTAATGGTGTATTTTGTCTCACTTTTGTGTTTTCAAACTGTACATGAGGAGAGTGTCTGACAACAAGCTTACTAATAGCTGCCTTGCATGCCAATGGATTGCCACGGATGCTGTTTGATTGATAATACCCCTTGAAGGTCATAATGAGAATCATGGGATTCTCTAGGAGAAGATGCAGTGTAGTTTTTGGAAAACATAAAGACGCCAGCATGTCTGACTTACGTCCTGGGGCCTACCTCTGTGCACTACTGAGTTTAATGGGACAATGTGAGATGATGTCATAATAACTCTGTCTGCCTTCATGCAGTGACACTCATTAGGACTTGTATTTACTATTTTTAGTCTGCCGCAGTTGAAGCAATGTTTGCTAATTATCTTTCTAATCAGGTTAGGTAATGTAACCTAAACCTTGCAGTGCTCTAATCTAGCACGTGTTCCTTAGACTGGCTTCAGTGCCGTAACTCAACAGAAAGGGGGCAGCACTTTTGTGGTACAGTATTTACTGTCAGTCAGCCCCTCTCTCAAGGCTGTGTATGACCCTATGACCTGGTCGCTGCTTGGGGTGGAGGTCTATCCGTGCTGGCTGCACATGCTCAGTCCATCTACACCTAGAGCCAGCCTGCCTGCCTGTCACAGTTTCCGTTGTGTAAGGGATAAACATGCTAATCCAGCAGGCAGGTCAGCTATTCCCAGACGATGCTGAAGATAGCTGGGAAACTGTACAGAACATAACATTGACTGAGCCCTTAAGCCACTCTACCCCATCTAAGACCTTAATAGGACCTTTTTCACAGTCTTAACTTCTGTTTTCTTGATATCACGCACCTCTCTCTAGTGTAATATCAAAGGGTGCATGTCCTGTAGGCCACCTGATACAGATGTAGTATCTTCATTTGATCACCCTGTTGCAGGATATTTGTAGTGTATTTTAGGTTTAGAAAGGCTTCTGAACTTTGTAATTTCCACTTTGAAATTTCAAACCTACAAAAATGTCCATTAATCATAATCCACATAATAATTTACATTTCCTTTTGCTGCAGGACTATTTTCCTGCTGTAGCAAACTGGCTCAAATTAACATCCTACACCTGTACCTGAAGCGCAATAGAAACCATCAACAGTGTATTGCAAACATTTATAACCTACTGCAGGTCCATAAGAACTGTAACCTACACCAAAGTAAAAATAATTCATTTGTAAGAAATTACAGAAAATTAGAGAAAAAAAGGAATGTCAGAAAATTACATCTCATTTCACATATCACCTCAGTTTCATGACATCAATCAACTCCCATGAGAGCTTGACCCACAGTGGCCTTGACAGAGTGTATTCCTAATGGGGAAAGAGGCTGAGTTTTTCTCAGCAAGAGACCTGATTATGTTTTCTCCGGTTCTGTGTAGTAATTGCACCATTATAATAGTTGAACTAACCCTTTGGCTATGTGTCTGTGTGTTCTCCCAGGGGAGCGTTCTCCGAGGTGTTCATGGTGAAGGAGAAGATGACAGGCAAGCTGTTTGCCTTAAAGTGTGTGAAGAAGAAGCAGAAGAGTATTCAGAATCTGGAGAATGAGATTGCCGTGTTGAGAAAGTAAGAGTTGCAAACTTTGTTAATTGTATTATTTCAGTCTCCATTTCAATTGAATGAATCATGACTTCAACTACTGTATGTTTCACTGTATTTTCATCTCACATGCTAAACATGATATTCTCTCTCCCAGGATCAAACATGAAAACGTTGTTGGTTTGGAGGATTTCTATGAAAGTCGCTCTCATTTCTACCTTGTCATGCAGCTGTAAGTTCCATACCTTTTACCTTATATTACAGTAGAAGGGAGAAAATATCATGTTAATTATGTCCTGTAAAAACCCTTGAGTAGCCTACGCACACTCCACTCCACAAATAATAGTTCTTGCCACTTTTAATGACAGCCACAATGTTCTGCCTGTCAGAGTTAGTGCTCAGACTGCAACTTAGCACTCAAGTCACATGCAGAAGCATAATGCTGAATGTTCCCAACGTTGAGCCTGAACATAAACAGAAGCTCATGGATAGAGTTTAGAGTTAGGCTGACTTGACTTAAACCCCTTTACTTTTTTTAATTTAACCTTTATTTAACCAGGTAAGCCAGTTGAGAACAAGTTCTCTTTTACAACTGCGACCTGGCCAAGATAAAGCAAAGCAGTGCGATAAAAACAACAACAACACAGAGTTACATATGGAATAAAAACAAAACGTACAGTCAATAACCAATAGAAAATCTATAACAGTGTGTGCAAATGTAGTAAGTTATGGAGGGTAAGGCAATAAATAGGCCATAGTGCAAAAAATTACAATTTAGTATAAACTGGAGTGATAGATGTGCAGAAGATGATGTGCAAATAGAGATACTGGGGTGCAAATGAGCAAAATAAATAACATATGGGATGAGGTAGTTGGGTGGGCTAATTACAGATGGGCTGTGTACAGGTGCAGTGATCGGTAAGCTGCTCTGACAACTAATGCTTAAAGTTAGTGAGGGAGATAAGAGTCTCCAGCTTCAGAGATTTTTGCAGTTCGTTCCAGTCATTGGCAGCAGAGAACTGGAAGGAATGGCGGCCAAAGGAGGTGTTGGCTTTGGGGATGACCAGTGAGATATACCTGCTGGAGCGCAGACTACGGTTGGGTGTTGCTATGGTGACCAATGAGCTGAAATAAGGCGGGGATTTGCCTAGCAGTGTTTTATAGATGACCTGGAGCCAGTGGGTTTGGCGACGAATATGTAGTGAGGGCCAGCCAACGAGAGCGTACAGGTCACAATGGTGGGTAGTATATTGGGCTTTGGTGACAAAACGGATGGCACTGTGATAGACTACATCCAATTTGCTGAGTAGAGTGTTGGAGGCTATTTTGTAAATGACATTGCCGAAGTCAAGGATCGGTAGCATAGTCAAGTTTTACGAGAGCATGTTTGGCAGCATGAGTGAATGAGGCTTTGTTGCGAAATAGGAAGCCGATTCTAGATTTAACTTTGGATTGGAGATGCTTAATGTGAGTCTGGAAGGAGAGTTTACGGTCTAACCAGACACCTAGGTATTTGTAGTTGTCCACATATTCTAAGTCAGACCCGCCGAGAGTAGTGATTCTAGTCGGGCGGGCGAGTGCAAGCAGCGTTCGATTGAAGAGCATGCATTTAGTTTTACTAGCGTTTAAGACCAGTTGGAGGCTACGGAAGGAGTGTTGTATGGCATTGAAGCTCGTTTGGAGGTTTGTTAACACAATGAAGGGCCAGATGTATACAAAATGGTGTCGTCTGCGTAGAGGTGGATCTGAGAGTCAACAGCAGCAAGAGTGACATCATTGATATACACAGAGAATAGAGTCAGCCTGAGAATTGAACCCTGTGGCACCCCCATAGAGACAGCCAGAGGTCCAGACAACAGGCCCTCCGATTTGACACATTGAATTCTATCTGAGAAGTAGTTGGTGAACCAGGCAAGGCAGTCATTTGAGAAACCAAGGCTATTTAGTCTGCCAATAAGAATGCTGTGATTGACAGAGTTGAAAGCCTTGGCCAGGTCGATGAAGACTGCTGCACAGTACTGTCTTTTATCGATCACAGTTATAATATCGTTTAGGACCTTGAGCGTGGCTGAGGTGCACCCATGACCAGCTCGGAAACCAGATTGCATAGCGGAGAAGGTACGGTGGGATTTGAATTGGTCGGTTTTCATGAGGGGCATATGACTGTGCTTACACAGGCAGCCAAATTCTGATCATTTTCCCACTAATTGGTCTTTTGACCAATCAAATCAGCTCTGAAAAAGATCTGATGTGAAAAGATCGGATGTGATTGGTCAAAAGACCAATTAGTGGAAAAAAGATCAGAATTGGGCTGCCTGTGTAAATGCAGCCTTGGTCATCCAAAAATGTTAGGCTGAGTAATGCTTCCGATGCTTAGCTCATGGTTGGAGTTTAAGATTAGGTTGAGCCAGCTTTTAAGGGCTAATTGTTAATGGTTGTTGTTGTTGTTCTCCCGGTAGCGTTGCTGGGGGTGAGCTGTTTGACCGTATCCTGGACCGGGGGATGTACTCAGAGAAGGATGCTAGCAGGGTCATCCAACAGGTGCTCCAGGCCGTACAATACCTCCATCAGAATGGCATCGTGCACCGCGACCTCAAGCCGGAGAACCTGCTGTATTACAGTCAGGATGAGAACTCCAAGATCATGATCAGTGACTTTGGCCTGTCCAAGATGGAGGATAACGGTGTCATGTCCACAGCCTGCGGCACTCCAGGATATGTGGGTAAGGAAGGAGACATTTTTGGCCTTACAGATAATTAACTGTGTGTATGGGGGAGAAACTCTGTCAGAGGAAACACATTATAAAACCTTGGGGAGACAAGAAGAACATTCCAAAACCTACATAGTTAACCTAGACCTATCATCTATCTGTCAAACACCGATTATATAACACTAGTTGATTTAAATGAACTGAACTTGGAGAATTGTTCTTACTTACTCTGTTTCCCAACCTCCAGCCCCTGAAGTCTTGGCCCAGAAACCCTACAGCAAGGCAGTGGACTGCTGGTCTATTGGAGTCATCACCTATATCCTGTGAGTACTGCTATCATTGATGACCTTAGGATATGTATAGGCTACTGTAGTGAAAAGTTGATTGCATGTAAAGACTATGTATGTCACATGGTCTTTGCAGGCAAGAGTGCATTTGTTGTTCTCCAAGCTTGTTCATCTAATCAAGGGTTATCTTTAGAATGATGACTTGTTAGGATTATCAAAGGCATAGTCACGCTGACTCATTAGTGCCACTGGGCCATTCCCTCAACATGTCCTGTTGTAGTGGTCGGGTTAGAGCTCCACCTTGTGGACATTTATCTCTGACACACACACACACACACACACAGTCTATCATTTCGTAATGGCACACATTTACACAGCATTATTATTTGGTTTCTCTAGGCTCTGTGGATATCCCCCTTTCTATGAGGACACTGAGACACGACTGTTCTCTAAGATCATGAAGTCACAGTACGAGTTTGACTCTCCCTTTTGGGATGACATCTCTGAATCAGCCAAAGATTTTATCCGCAACATGATGCAGAAGAACCCTAAGATGCGCTTCACTACAGAGCAGGCTCTCAGGCATCCCTGGTGAGTGCCATGATCAACAACATCAATTGCCTACTGTTTAGTCTGTAACATCTACAACAACATGCACTCTGTGGTGTTCAGTGTGAGGTGTATTCAGGCTAGCCTGGAAACAGTTTCTGTTACTATGACAGAAATGCCCGACTGAATTAGTGAAGTGAAACAATGGTGAAATATAGAGTGATTTAGTCTGGATTTCCAGGCTAAAACCAATAGGAGATTACAATGTTATTTTCTGTTGTCTCTCCTTCAGGATCATTGGAAAGACGGCACGGAGCCATGATATCTACCACTCAGTCAGTGAACAGATCCAGAAGAACTTTGCCTAGACCAAGTGGAAGGTGAGCCCTCTTTCCATCTTGCTCAGTCAGAGGGTTCTGTCTCTCTCCCACATCTAAGACATAATCACAGTGTGTTGTTTACTTTCCTGTTTAAGGGCCATGAAATACTGTTAACATCTGTGTGTTAATCAACATTCCTGATTACTCATAATCAAGTCAATATCAAGACAACTAGGAAAAACATTTGACCAAATGAAAATGCCTCACTTAACTCATGATGATGGTTATCACTGTGGCATCTCATACAGTAGTTTCCTCTTAGATCTTAGCATGTTCCTCATCATCTCCTGTCTGTGTGCTGTTACAGCAAGCCTTTAACGCCACCGTGGCCATCAACCACATGAAGAAGCAGCAGCTGGCTCACTCTGACCTGGTGGTCAAGGCGCAGACCCTCAACATGCCCACCATCCAGGTCATCGACGTCTCCCCCCCCCCCAAGTCCCACAACCCCCTGGATCCTGAGAGGCTGGAACCCAACGGGAAACACATGACCTTACCGATCACCTCCAGAGACGTGAAGAGCCCCCTGCCCCGTAAGATCAGCCAAAGCGAGCCGGCACACGCCCATACCCTTGCAGAGATGGGCAAACACGCCTACCACTCTGAGCCTGCGAACCTTAATACGTAAGCACTAACCCTAACCCTGACTCCCATATTTACATAAAAAGATGGCTAGCCTCCATTCACTGTGCCTGAATGACCATTGAACAGTGTGGGGAATATCCCAGATTTGCCTGTGTGACTATGTGATCTCTAATGGATGACTTTGCCTCTCCTTGTTTTAGGTACAGGGCGACGGCCAACCGCAATGGCCAGGCTCTTCAGACTGGAGTGTGCTCCGTCATGTGAAGGGTCTATGGACGGAGCTTGCGTGGAAAATTAGGTAGATATTTAACTACTACACATTATATTCTATGTTACAGTGCTATACAGTGATTATTATTTGACCCTGCTGGTCATCTATGAACGTTTGAACATCTTGAAGAACGAGCTGGCCTTAATGGCCATGTACTGTTATAATCTCCACCCGGCACAGCCAGAAGAGGACTGGCCACGCCTCAGAGCCTGGTTCCTCTCTAGGTTTCTTCCTAGGTTCCAGCCCTTTTAGGGAGTTTTTCCTAGCCACCGTGCTTCTACATCTGCATTGCTTGCTTTTGGGGGTTTTAGGCTGGGGTTCTGTATAAGCACTTTGTGACAACTGTTGATACAAAAAGGGCTTTATAAAATAAATGTTGATTGAATGTAATAAGGCATGTTACAGTACAGGGCATCTTCCTTATTAGATATGGATAATGTACATGATAACCTATTAGATATAGATAATCTCAACTCAAGGTGTTGTTCCATTGGACTAAACGTGCGTCTCTCTCCTCTGCAGGTCAGTCAGCTGACTTGGTCATGGCTGCTTTCTTTGTGTGGGCCAGCCCAGGCACTGTGACTGGCAAGTGGATTCTCAGGACGGTCAAGGGTGGCCAGTGAGATCCAGAATCCAAAGAATTCTGAACAGTGCCTAGAAACTTCACTGAACACACACATTCTGTACAGCGCCAGAAGTACACACACATACAGTTAAAGTCGGAAGTTTACATACACCTTAGCCAAATACATTTAAACTCTGTTTTTCACAATTCCTGACATTTAATCCTAGTAAAAACTCCCTGTTTTAGGCCAGTTAGGATCACCACCTTATTTTAAGAATGTGAAATGTCCGAATAATAGTAAAGAGAATTATTTCTTTCAGCTTTTATTTCTTTCATCACATTCCCAGTGGGTCAGAAGTTTACATACACTCAATTAGTATTTGGTAGCATTGCGTTTAAATTGTTTAACTTGTTTAGCTTCCCACAATAAGTTGGGTGAATTTTGGCCCATTCCTCCTGACAGAGCTGGTGTAACTGAGTCAGGTTTGTAGGCCTCCTTGCTCGTACACACTTTTTCAGTTCTGCCCACAAATGTTCTATAGGATTGAGGTCAGGGCTTTGTGATGGCCACTCAAATACCTTGACTTTGTTGTCCTTAAGCCATTTTGCCACAACTTTGGAAATATGCTTGGGGTCATTGTCCATTTGGAAGACCCATTTGCGACCAAGCTTTAACTTCCTGACTGATGTCTTGAGATGTTGCTTCAATATATCCACAACATTTTCCTTCCTCATGATGCCATCTATTTTGTGAAGTGCACCAGTCCCTCCTGCAGCAAAGCACCCCCACAGCATGATGCTGCCACCCCCGTGCTTCACGGTTGGGATGGTGTTCTTCGGCTTGCAAGCAACCCCCTTTTTGCTCCTAACATAACGATGGTCATTATGGCCAAACAGTTATATTTTTGTTTCATCAGACCAGAGGACATTTCTCCAAAAAGTATGATCTTTGTCCCCATGTGCAGTTGCAAACCGTAGTCAGGCTTTTTTATGGCGGTTTTGGAGCAGTGGCTTATTCCTTGCTGAGCGGCCTTTCATGTTATGTAGATATAGGACTCGTTTTACTGTGGATATAGATAATCTTGTACCTGTTTCCTCCAGCATCTTCACAAGGTCCTTTGCTGTTGTTCTGGGATTGATTTGCACTTTTCGCACCAAAGTACATTCATCTCTAGGAGACAGAACGCGTCTCCTTCCTGAGCAGTATGACGGCTGCGTGGTCCCATGGTGTTTATACTTGCGTACTATTGTTTGTACAGATGAACGTGGTATCTTCAGGCGTTTGGAAATTGCTCCCAAGGATGAACCAGACTTGTGGAGGTCAACCTTTTTTTTCTGAGGTCTTAGCTGATTTCTTTTGATTTTCCCTTGATGTCAAGCAAAGTTTGAAGGTAGGCCTTGAAATACATCCACAGATACACCTCCAATTGACTCAAATGATGTCAATTAGCCTATCAGAAGCTTCTAAAGCCATGACATCATTTTCCTGAATTTTCCAAGCTGTTTAAAGGCACAGTCAACTTAGTGTATGTAAACTTCTGACCCACTGGAATTGTGATACAGTGAATTATAAGTGAAATAATCTGTTTGTAAACAATTGTTGGAAAGATTACTTGTGTCATGCACAAAGTAGATGTCCTAACCGACTTGCCAAAACTATAGTTTGTTAACAAGACATTTGTGGAGTGGTTGAAAAACAAGTTTTAATGACTCCAACCTAAGTGTATGTAAACTTCCGACTTCAACTGTACATGTATAGTCACAAGGTATTCTATGATGTCCAGCATCCCAAGGAGGAGGGGCAATAAGCTCACTAGGGACTGGGGGTTGTATGTATTATACCAAGGAGAAACAATTCTTCACATAAGAATTAGTGTTATAACCCCTGAAGAAGGAGGATGTCAGGGATGGTTTGTTTGCGTCATGATGATGCGATGTGGTGCCATGTTGTTTAAAGACAGGTAAAGACAGGTAAAGAAGAACTAGGACTTCTGTACATGAATAAAGCGAAGCTAGTTCAGACAGGAAACCTGAGTGTTTGTATTAGCTGATGTTGCACCAATTGGATTAATCACTCTACCTTAATATGGCGGTCTTATTAGTTGGCCACGTTCTCCACACACATTCTCTGATGGCTTCCGCTCGCAAGCTAGTGCTGTTTTCTGTTATCCCACCACCACCACAGCCTCCACCTGTTTGGCTCTGTATTTGGTTCAGTCAGGGGGATTGGTAGCTATACCTCACTCACTGCATGGAGGTTATCATGATGGTAATGATTTAGCTTTGCTATTAGCTGACAACGTCATTGGCTGACAACGTCACAAAAATGATACACGCACATCGATGAGGCAGAAGGCTGTGTGTTGTTATGATTCTGAATAGTCAGATAGCTAGCAACAGTGACAAGAAGATGCCATGTGGGGAATCGTAGGTGGCTCGTTTCAGTTGTCTTGTTTCAGTTGCCTTGTCTTGTTTTGACTGATGTCACGTCTATGCTAATATGGCTACAATTCGCTAGCTAGCTAACCAACAACTGTAACGACGTGTTTGAGAGACAACAAGTGCTCATTGTGCAAATGTATTTATGTTTTCAATAAACATTGTAGACAAAATATACACTGAACACAAATATAAACACAACATGCAACATTTTCAAAGATTTTACTGAGTTACAGTTAATTCAGTATAAGGAAATCAGTCAATTGAAATAAATTCATTAGGCCCTAGTCTATGGATTTCACATGACTGGGATTAAAGATATACAGTGCATTCGGAAAGTATTCAGACCTTCTAAAATGTATTAAATTAAACATTTTCCTTATCAATCTACACACAATACCCCATAATGACAAAGTAAAAACAGGTTTTTAGGAATGTTTGCAAATGTATTAAAAATAAAAAAAAGATTTACCTTATTTACATAAGTATCCTTTACTATGAGACTCGAAATTTAGCTCAGGTGCATCCTGTTTCCATTGATCATCCTTGAGATGTTTCTACACTTGATTGGAGTCCACCTGTGGTAAATTCAATTGATTGGACATGATTTGGAAAGGCACACACCTGTCTACATAAAGGTCCCACAGTTGACAGTGCATGTCAGAGCAAAACCCAAGCCATGAGGTCGAAGGAATTGTCCGTAGAGCTGCGAGACAGGATTGTGTTGAGGCACAGATCTGGGGAAGTCTGCAGCATTGAAGGTCTCCAAGAAGTGGCCTCCATCATTCTTAAATGGAAGAAGTTTCGAACCACCAAGACTCTTCCTAGAGCTGGCCAACCAGCCAGGGAGGTGACCAAGAACACGATGGTCAATCTGACAGAGCTCCAGAGTTCCTCTGTGGAGATGGGATAACATCCAGAAGGACAACCATCTCTGCAGCACTCCACCAATCAGGCCTTTATGGTAGAGTGGCCAGACAGAAGCCACTCCTCAGTAAAAGGCACATGACAGCCCGCTTAGAGTTTGCCAAAAGGCACCTAAAGGACTCTTACACCATGAGAAACAAGATTCTTTGGTCTGATGAAACCAAGATTAAACTATTTGGCCTGAATGCCAAGCGTCATTTCTGGAGGAAACCTAGCACCATCCCTACGGTGAAGCATGGTGGTGGCAGCATCATGCTGTGGGGAAGTTTTTCAGCGGCAGGGACTGGGAGACTAGTCAGGATCGAGGGAAAGATGAACGGAGCAAAGTACAGAGAGATCCTTGATGAAAACCTGCTCCAGAGCGCTCAGGACCTCAGACTGGGGCGAAGGTTCTCCTTCCAACAAGACAACGACCCTAAGCACACAGCCAACACAACGCAGAAGTGGCTTCGGGTCAAGTCTCTGAATGTCCTTGAGTGGCCCAGCCAGAGCCCGGACTTGAACCCGATCGAACATCTCTGGAGAGACCTGAAAATAGCTGTGCTGTGACGCTCCCTATCCAACCTGACAGAGCTTGAGAGTATCTGCAGAGAAGAATGGGAGAAACTCCCCAAATACAGTGTGCCAAGCTTGTAGCGTCATACCCAAGAAGACTCAAGGCTATAATCGCTGCTTCAACAAAGTACTGAGTAAAGGGTCTGAATACTTATGTAAATGTGATATTTCAGTTGTTGTTTTTTTGCAAAATTTCTAAATATCTGTTTTTGCTTTGTCATTATGAGGGGAAAAAAACAATTTAATCAATTTTAGAATAAAATCTTTCCGAATGCACTGGTATCTGTTGGTCACCCACACAACGCCGTAAACGTGGTCTACGATGGTGAGGCCGGTTGGACGTACTGCCAAATTCTCTAAAACGACGTTGGAAGCGGCTTATGGTAGAGAAATTAACATTCAATTCTATGGCAACAGCTCTGGTGGACATTCATGCAGTCAGCATGCCAATTGTACGCTCCCTCAAAACATGAGACATCTGTGGCATTGTGAAATTGATTATTT